CTAGAAACTAAAATTACTAAATATATACGAAAGGAATCGCCTCCCTACCTACCCCCAACCCACCCCCCCCCCTACCCCCCCCCCCCCCCCCCAAAAAAAAAAAAAAAAAGAAAACTAGAATAAGAAATATTTTGTCAGTGTAACCTGTCATTGTAATCGTTGTGACAACTTTGTGAATGGGTTTTCAAGCCTGAAATAGATATTCTGGTGGCTTTTACAATTAATATTGGTTGAATAAGTTCTTTACTAATCGACCAGAACGTAATAAATAAAAGAAACTTGTTGAATAAATGACATTGAGGACTATATGAATTCCTTACGCTTTGGTGTAGTTCAATTGATCTTTATTTTGCTGGTAGTTAGGTTGGATGTGCTCACAAAAAGGAGAAGCATTTGACAAAACCTGAAGTAGGTCATTTTAGAGCACAAGGTGTGCCCATGAAGAGAAAGCTAAAGGAATTTCCTGTTACAGAAGATGCACTTCTTCCTAGTGGAACGAGCATCAGCGTCCGCCATTTTGTTCCGGGCCAGTATGTGGATGTTACTGGAATTACAAGAGGGAAAGGCTTTCAGGTGTGGAGTAATCTTGATTGTGTTTATTGTTTGATTAGTCGTTTTCTATTGCTCTTTGCCTGTTATGGACTTCCTCACTTCACTATAGGATATTAATGTTTTGGATATGAACTCTCTAAGCATTAGCTAATCGTAGAAAGATTTTTTTGTTTGTGGAACAAAATTCCACCTTTCTACTTTCTGTTCCACCTCTTATTATGCAATTTGAACTGTCATTGTTGTCTCGCTATTGGAGGGTGTATCTCGTTGTATGAACTGTACTAAAGATGGGAAATTTCATGTGCAGGGTGGGATGAAAAGATGGGGGTTTAAAGGTATGCCTGCATCACATGGTGCTTCATTATCCCACAGAAGTATTGGTTCTACAGGTCAAAGAGATGCTCCAGGAAAGGTAGGTATTACCTTTTCTTCAATTTTATTTAGTAATTTACGGTGCTTAAGTTTTATTTTTACAATTAAATAAGTTGGCACTTGCTACACGCCTCATTTGGTCTAAAGAATGCTCAAAAGCCTGTGACACTTTAAATTAGTTTGGAGCTTTAACCTCTCATCTGGGGCAGAGAACTTACATTGCCAAATTGCATTTGATACCCTTGATTAGCTAATTTGGCTAACTGGTTTATTTGAAGTAAATGAACAATTGCTTTTGGATAATGCTGTCGTGGAATCTAGTTAATGTGACAAGCTTCTGCTTACATTTGTATTTATTTCTTTAAAGGTATTTAAAGGGAGAAAGATGCCTGGGCGCATGGGTGGAGTGCAACGAACTGTTAAAAATGTTTGGGTCTACAAGATTGATCCTGCCAGAAACTTGATGTGGGTCAAAGGCCAGGCAAGATTTGAAACTCTTTCTCGTTTTCTTTAAACTTGAAACAAGTGGATATGAGAGTTATCCTCCCGTATGCATTATTTAAATATAATTCTCTTTCTTGTGCAATCTTTCAGATGAAATTCTATGCATTCTAACTCATATTGACTAAGAGTTGTAACTTATTCAGAAAAGAAGAGAGAGGTAAAGAGAGAGCGATAGTTGGTACTGTAACGTGGGCAATCAACATTACTCCCCCCCCCGCCCCCACCACCACCACCCACCNAATTAGCTGCTCATTTTGCTAAATATTTGATTTGAAGTAAACGAACAGTTGCTTTTGGATAGTGCTGTCGTGGAATCTAGTTAATGTTACGAGCTTCTGCTTAATTTGTATTTTTTCCTTTAAAGGTATTTAAAGGGAGAAAGATGCCTGGGCGCATGGGTGGAGTGCAACGAACTGTTAAAAATGTTTGGGTCTACAAGATTGATCCTGCCAGAAACTTGATGTGGGTCAAAGGCCAGGCAAGAATTTGAAACCCTTTTCGTTTCTTTTTAAACTTGAAACAAGTAGGTATGAGAGTTATCACATTGTACTCATAATTTGATTATAATTCTCTTTCTTGTGCAATCGTTCAGATGAAATTCTATGCGTTCAAACTCAATTTGACTAAAAGAGTTGGTAATTTATCAAAATAAAAAAAATAAGAGATGGAGAGAGAGAGAGAGAGAGCTAGTGCAGTGTAACATCAGCAATCAACATTGTAATCCC